CATTCTCTTATTCATTCTCTAATTCATTCTCTAATTCATTCTCTTATTCATTCTCTAATTCATTCTCTAATTCATTCATAGGTGGTTTGAATGTCTAGCTATGACACAGCATAGCATGACAAAGTAACATGGATGGTAACATGGATATTGAATACTTTTATGTAAGCACCTAGCCATTTTCGCGCATCTATTGCGGTGAATTTACAGATTTTGAAACTTTTGACTACTAATCAATATAGGTTAGAGTGCGACAATTAAATATAAATTCTACAGTTCTATGTCTAATGAGATAATTCAGATAGTGAATAAGATGGGTTAGACACATTATTGGTATAGAACAGAGGTTAATATTGATGAATCAAATTTGGTTTGTGAATTAGAAGTTACCAATAACATGCGCGAAAATAACAGGTGCATACATGAAAAGTATACAATAAAAATACAATAAAACTGTACTACAAATTTTATAACGTAATAAAAATTCGCCAAATTTTTCAATGAGATGACCCCAATATTTGTTTCAATTCATTGTTTTCTAATATCTTTTATTCTTCGTTTTGAATGTTATAAGGATTACGTATTCATACTTAATATCACTTTTAATATTACTTAATATTACTTTTAATATTACTTTTAATATTACTTAATATTACTCATGATATTTTTTTTTTACATGTGCTTAATGTTCTCGGGATCTTTTGTTTTTTGTAATATAATTCTATTTTTATCGATGAAACGTAATAGTAATAAAATGTAATAATTACATCATACTACTTTCAAGCAAAGGATAAATCGAGGCATTGTTACTTACTTACGTATAAGATTGCTTTGCTCATTCGTAATGACCATAATATATCAGATGTTTGGCGCAATAAATGATCATTTCTATATTACTCTGACATAGCTATATTTCATAGCTTTTGTCTTGTCTTCTATATCAATTCGTAAGACAATTAATTACTACAATCATTTATTCAAACAATATACGTATTTGTTTTTGATGGTCATGGTACGTCAGGCTCGGGACCTTGCCAGTGAACTTTACACAATTCAATTAATTTCAGCGGCTCGGGACCTTGCCAGTAAACTTACATAATTCAATTACTTTTTCACTTTTAGCAAACATTCGATACATCCCCAAGAAAATGATATCTGTAATTGATCATACTGATTTAAAAAAAAAATGTATATGTTTGGGGTGGTGTGAAATATAAACATTTATGCACCATTTATGCAATATTTCATACATAATAATTTTGGGTTTTGCGTTAATCGGAGAAACTCCGATTTATAGTTTGTCGTGTAAGAGTTGGTACTAATTCAAGGTCAAATATCACTAAATATCACTAAATATCACTAAATATCACTAATGAGGATGAGCTATGTACATATATGGTATCAAAAAGACCGGTCTAGACTTCAAGTTCTATTTATAACCAACTTGTAGGTCGTTCAAAATCGTTCTAGACTTCAAGTCCTATTTATGACCAACTTACAAGTCGGCAAAAGTACACGGTATTTATTATATCCGATAGATAATTATGATCGATCAGGACTTAAGATATAGATTCTGTGAAAAAATAACCTTAATCTTAGTTTAGCCGAACCGAATTTATACGTACGTACGTACGTAATAAATAAATACTTGACATCTACAAATAGAAGTTTACTATTCTCTACGTATTTCAAATACGTAGTTACATGATCATTATGTCATAACAATAAATTGCATTTTGTGAACGATTCATCTATATAGTTTGTTTTCTTAGAATCCTTCAAACTCAAATACAATTATGATTATAATTTGTCCTATTATTGGTACTACGTATTACGCATATTGTATATTCACTGGAACATTCACCGGAATATTAGCATGACGTTTTGTACAGTATATATTGTTATCGAATTATAATAATTATTCAAATAAAAGATAAAAGAAAGAATCGATTTCATATTAAAAGTAGTGATAAAGTAGTCACGAAGCCGAATATACAGTATAATAGGTTATTAATGTTAAAACCAAAGAAATTTATTTAAACATATTCAAAAGACAAGGCTACTATTTTAGTGAAAATTACATTTGTATATTATCGTCAAAACTACAGAAGTACGCCAAGTGATGAAATGTTTGTTAGTGTTTAAAAATACGTAATTTGTTTATACAAAATTGTTGGGTGAAAAACCAATGTAATTCAAGTTTAGAAAGCCAATTTTTTCCGAAATGACAATCTTGACAAAGTTAGCATGCATTTAATTTATTGTTTAACAGTTTAGTTGATATTATGTCTTTGTTGAGAAATTGTCTCGTACAATACTGCAAACAAAAAAAAAACATTCTGCACTGAATTTTGTAATAAATTAAAAATTTATGGTAGAAAGTTCTCGTAATAGTTCCGCTTCTTTAGACTTCTCCGTCATAATAAAATGTTAATTCTTTATTTAGCGGTCATATCCGAAACACAACAAACTTTCCAAACATTACCAAACATTACGTATTTTTGTTTGTCTGTAAATGGGTTTGAAGAAGAATCAGGACGATTTATTAATCTATAGCAAATTCATTATATGCAGCGGAAAAATGTAAGATTTGTGAAAAACATAATGGAGTTTTTGTTAAAAAGATTTATTTAGTTAAAAATGAAAAAAATGAATGAATGTAAATGCAAAGCTGGTCATGTGTTGATCATGTAGCATGACGTTGTAACTTAAAAAAGTTAGCATAAATACTATGTATATGCATCAGTTAGTCTGTGTATTATTGTAACTAAAGAAAAAAAAATGTCGATACGAGTCTAGATCATCGCGTATATCCGTCAGACGTAAAAAAAATGTCGATACGAGTCTAGATCATCGCGTATATCCGTCAGACGTAAAAAAAATGTCAATACGAGTCTAGATCATCGCATATATCCGTCAGACGTAAAAAAAATGTCGATACGAGTCTAGATCATCGCGTATATCCGTCAGACGTATTTGGGCGCGCGCGATATTTCATACGTACAATTCAATTATTAATGCACATTAATATTATGTATCGATTTTATTTTCATACAATAAACATTTTATTATTTCCTATATCCAAGCAATTTTTACTACAATAGGTTAAATCACTCATGCGGCGCTAAAATGAATTTTTTTTTGTTGTAGAATTATTAGGTATGTTATAATTCTGAATTTGTTTTATAATATAAATACAAATCAAAAAAAAAAAAAAAGAAAAAAAAAAAAGAAAATCATAACCATAAATTGGTATGCAGTAAGTACAATATTACAAAGTCTGATTAACGAAAATATTTTGATATCATACTCAAGTTTGAAAATTTAAAACATCAAACATTAAAACATTTTTAATGACATAATTGTAAAGAAAATTTTTAATAATACAATAATACATGTGATATGCTTAAATATAAAGTTATAGTAAATTTATTATGTGCAAATTTAGTTCTGTGGCGCAATATTTTCTATTACCTTTTTCTTGAAAATGTGAACTGCCACGTTTTTTTTAATTTAAAGTCTTAATTTATGAACACTTTTTTAAGCTTGTATCCCGTCACACGGACTTTATCACTCACAAAAAATTTTTTTTTTTTTTATAATGATCGAATCAACTTTTCTTATATGAAACGCGTAAATAATACTGTAGTAAAATTTCTTTGTTAAGCGTCAATTTATCGTTATTTTTAGCATCTACCTATCTGCTATGTATTACGCATCTATGCATCGTAGATCGTTACATCATCAACTGATCAAAAATTCTATTACAGTATTAAATTTTTAAATCAATATTTTATGAATTACCGAGAGTTGTCTCAAAAAAAAAACAAAACAATTTAGCAAAGATAGCATCTCTGTTTGCTTTCACATCGTCATATGGTCACACATCATTCCTGCATTGTCTTTGCGAAGAAATTTCGTTATCACGTTATCATAAAGCTTAAACTTTTAAGTATAATAAGATCTCAATTGCGCATTTAGTTACGCAAAAAATACAAACAGAGCCAACAATTCCCGAATATTTGCCATTTGTCTATTTGAATAGTTATATATTTTGTTCAGTTAATTTTATTACTAATACAAAAAAAAAAAAAAAAGAAAAATATATAAATACCATCTAACTTTTCCCTTCTGATTCCATACCTTCAAAAAAAAAAAAAATAGGTAGAAAAAATATATAAATATAGAGCATAGAAATCAAGCTTTTATAAGCTCAAGAAATAAAATTTCAAACATATAGTTTTTATAAGCTTATCAATATGCCAACTCTACGAACACCAAGATTACGTCGCAATCGTGACAACGGTCACAATCATATTCGTCGAGCCAGGGAAAGAAGAAGATATAATCCGTCAACTTTTCGTATCGAGGATACTGCGGTGTTTCCTCCCGAATTTAGCCAATTCGTTGAACAAATGATTTTCGGAACCCCATTCCACGAAAGCTGAGATACGATCCTCGAAATGATCGTTTTCTGGACACGTGAAAAAAAGATTTTTTTTTTTTTTTTTAAAGACAGTCGTTTATTTCTTTCAAGGTTACATACATTAAACAATCTATTTCTAAAGTTATATAAGGTTGCTAAATTTAAAAAAAAACTTTAGATTACATATCGGGGCTGAAAATGGTACTTTATTTTTACACCTGGAAAATGTTGCTCAAAGTATCTTTTTCAGCCCTGATAAGTACTGTACCTACATATATTTATACATATAATTATATTTATACACTCTTTTAGAGAATGTTATTAAATTATAGTAATAGTATTTGACTCATTATTTATCATTTGTAGAAAGAAAATGTAAGAGATCAAATTACGTCAGAGAAACTTGTTTTATTTATTAGGATATTGATTTGCATTATGCATTATTATCAAATTAAAAAAAAAATTTTTTTTTTCCAAACCCAACGAGTTAAATATTTGAAAAATAATGCACATGTGTTCCATTATCACACATGATTATTCTCAATTAGACGAAAGAATGGTGAAGATCCTAATAAAAAAAGGATATTAATTATGCTGAACATATTAAGTTTGAATGTAACAAATGAATGACAAGAAACATTTATTATTTACTAATAAAAGAAACAATAATTTGAATTTTTTTTTTATATCGTATATTACAGTATTAGAGACCAAGTTCAACATATAATATATAATTTAACCATTTTTTTACTAGATCGATATATAATTTAACTATTTTTTTACTAGATCAAAAGTCATGCGTACGTACGTACGTACGTACATGACCGAGATGCACAAAAAAGTAATGACGAGTTGGTCAGCAGTTCATCAAATGACTCTCTATTATTATTATAAAGTTGTTACTTTCGTTTCAGGTTTAGCTTGGCAAGTTACACGATGAATAATATCTCTTCTTTAAAACAAAAAAAAGCTTCTAAAAGAAAGTTACACGATAAATATATTTCACTTTGTTAAAATCAAACTAAAAATCACTCAAAAGAAAAGAAAAACAAATGAGCGTGAGCATAGTCATACCTCATGGTTATCTCTTCTATCCTAATCTCCGAAATCTTGGTTTCTATTGTACAACTATTGATCGTAGCCTTGATTGCTGATAAGATAAAATGTATGGAAAGAAAGTGGGATGCACATTGAAAATTTATCCTAAACCTTAAATTTAAACTATATATACCGGTATATCAATATGCGCACACATATTTAATTAAAATTATGAATGAAATGTGTACGTACATGCACAATACGTACGTACCTTAAATTTTTTTATTTTTAAATCTTAATCTTTTTTTTAAAAAAAACAGTGCGTTCCTTTCGGGCAAGGTCGAGAGTCATATTTATGCTGATAATTTCAAAGCAAAATTTATCCAAATAAAATATGGCATTTAGTCTTTAAAATTATAGGATGGACCACTGCCCCTTGGAAATATTAAAAGATTCTGTATACCGATACTGTAATGGATACTGTAATGCATTAAGATGTACGACTCACCGGAATTTCGATAGTCACTCAAGTGAAATAATATACAATGATCGGTTGTTTCTCAATTTAGAATTTTTGGTTCTATTCCGAGTCTTTAAAAAATCCGGTCCAAACCGACCTGTGCGACACACTTAAATTGAAAAAAAATTCATAGTTTAATTCTATATACTTGAAAACAAGGTTTCGTATACAAACTAATAAATACACACAAAAAATTATCTCCTACACGTCCAACAGATGGTGGTATATTTTTTTATCTAAGCAAAGTCAGAACTGAGATCTTTTTGAGATTTTTTTTACATAGTAAATATGGCTTTTTGCGACAATTTTTATTAGTGAAACTTTGTCTTCTAAATGTTTCACATTGACTTTTTATTACCTCTTTATTTAGATTAGTAAATGTATTCGCATTTTATAGATTTACATAACAAGAGTTGGTAGCAAAAAGAATTTTATATATTATATTTATATGACCATGATTAAGACTTGATTCTGCAACATGATACGATGTTATTAATGTTCTGTAAAAAAAAATAAAACAGGAGCAGAGTGAAGCGAGATTGAGAATTACAAAAATGTAGAGCTGGGTTTGAAAAGAAGTCGTGCGAAACTAGGCTAAAAGATATGAAAATTTTATTAAGAACATTACGATGTAAATTGACTTAGTTCATGAGCAATTAACTCATAAAGATTATTTTACAGGCGATTAATTCAATGACAAATTTTGTTTCATAGACAGATTATTTTACAGGCGATTAATTCAATGACAAATTTTGTTTCATAGACAGTTTATTTCACCAAGTTTTTTTTATAAATTACCCTAACCTTTGATACCTACTCTTAATGATAACGACTAATATTACTTTATGAAATGAGCTGTCGGTGAAATAAACTGTCTATTAAATGAACTTGTCAGTAAATTAATCGTCTGTAAAATAATCTTTGCGAATTAATTGTTTGTGAACTAAATTGTCTGTGATGTGATTGCTTACGTTTTAATTTTGAAAAGGAACACCAAAAATCTATATTGAATTCACGTACCAATTTAATGCTGATTACTTCCAAAAAAAACCAACGGCAAGATATTTTTATATACGTTGAGATTTAATATAGTAAGAGAGAAAGGAGTATTTCACTCAGAAATAAATTTGTACCTACAAGTACTGTAAAATACATCTCCAAGTTCGCAAACATATTCAGCACATATGTCTGCAAACTTTTTGACTTCATAGATAGGCTAGCCATTAAATTGTTTTTTTGAATACTAATTCTAATGAAGCAAGTCTTGAAAATACTGCATCGAATATTGAATTTGATGATATGGAAAATAATGATTATATAATTTGAAAAAAAATTTGAAGAAAATGTAATGCAAACAATTGAAAACATTGATAATTTGGATGTTCTATAGAATAGGTGGGCAAACTCCGCCAACTCCGATATTAAAAAATTAATGATTACTAATCATTAGCGAAGCTTATTT